AGACTGAGCCAAGCGTCCCTGCATAAGCCATTTTTCTTCTGGTCTTGGTGCTTTCACCTCCTGAACACCTCCAGGTTACCGACCAGTCTCTCAGCTCTTCTGCAGCCAGGCTCTTTTATCTCGTACCTCAATTGTGTATAAAGAAAGTGTTTAATTGGGGGCTCGCTTACAGATGCAGAGAGTGAGTCCATGACCATCTTGGTAGGGGCCATGGCCACAGGCAGGCGGTGAGTCCGTGATCGTCACAGTAGGGAGCTTGGCAGCACACAGGCAGGCATGGCGCTGGAGTACTAGCTGAGAGCTTACGTGTGATTCACGGGTACAACACCAAGGAAGCATAGCCGGGAATGGCATGGGCTTTGAAACTTCTCCAGCCAGGCCGCACCTTCCAGTCATTCCTAACCAGTCCACCAATATGCTCCAGCGGGGACCCTTATCATTCAAACCACCACATCCAAACCGTCCTTGAACTTGAGAGCCTCTTGCTTCAGTCTCTGGATTGATGGAGTTACAGGTGTATGTCACTAAGCCTGGCTGATCTTTCTTCAGAAAATAAGAGTTTTCAGAAATTCCGCTATGATCCCATCAATCTAAAATCCTCCGTCAGCTTCCCATTGTCCTTAGAGTGCTTGTAAAACATCCCATAATCTAGTTCCTGTCTTCTACATAAGGCTTTGACTTGGCTATATTTAGCATTCTGCGCCAGCCATGCTGAGCTTTGAGTTTCTCCAGTGTAAGTTGCTCACATTTTTTGTTTGTCCCTCTGTCTGTGACATACATCCTCTCTTTATACTCCATGTGGACAAGTACTTAATTCAGAGGATAACTTGCTGGAGTTTCTTCTCCCACCTTTATGTGGGTTCTGGGGATCAAACTCAGCTCATTAGGCTTGGTGGCAAACATCTTTACCCACTGAGCCATCTAGCTGGTTCCACTTCTTTCTTTGTGAATGGCCAAAGTGGATTATTCTAGAATCTAAACACTGGTCCTTATAACAGAACAGCAAGTACTTTTAGTCGCCAAAGCATCTCTCCAGCCCAGTTCTGTGTCCATTTTTATTGTGTCCATTTTTCCCTCAACCAGTTTATTTCATACATGATTTCTCCCTTCCTTAATTTATTATTATTGTTGTTATCATTGTGTGTGTGGGTGAGCACACTGTGGCATGTATATGGCGATCAGAGGGCACTGAAATAGTTCTCTACCTCCACCTTGTGTGGTTTCCAGGGATTGGACTCAGGTCATCAGTTTGCCTGGCAAGTACCTCATCCAC